TGTAGCTTTGCCTCCCTGTAGCTTTGCCTCTCTGTAGCTTTGCCTCTTTGCGGCTTTGCCTCCCTTCCCCCTCACCCTTTTGGGGCCCCTGAACCTGCAGACGGTGGAGTTGGGGGGGCAGCCGCCCTGGTTCTCCAGGCAGGGGTTCTGGGGGACGCAGACGCGGCCGTCGCCATGGTAGCCGTGCAGGCAAGCGCAGCCGACGGTCGCCGTGCCGACCGAACTACAGCCGGCGTTCGGGTGGCAGTCCTTCGGGTCGCAAACAGCTGAACGGAAATCAAACACTGAGAAATCAAACTCCCGCTGCTACAGCTACAACTACAACTACAGCTACAGCTACAGCTACATCTAGAGCTACAATTATAGCTACAACTACAATTACAGCTAAAGCTACAACTACAACTACAACTTCAACTACAACTACAACTGCAGCTACAACTATAGCTACAAATACAACTACAGCTACAGCTACAACTACTATTACAGTTACAACTACAATTACAGCTACAGCTACAACTACAATTACAGCTACAACTACAGCTACAGCTACAATTACAGCTACAACTACAGCTACAACTACAGCTACAGCTACATCTACATCTAGAGCTACAACTACAGCTACAACTACAGCTACAGCTACAACTACAGCTACAACTACAACCACAATTAAAGCTACAACTACAACTACAAATACAGCTACTTCTACAGCTACATCTAGAGCTACAATTATAGCTACAACTACAGCTACAGCTACAATTATAGCTACAACTACAGCTACAGCTACAATTATAGCTACAACTACAGCTACAACTATAGCTAGAGCTACAGCTACAGCTACAGCTACAACAACAACTACAATTACAGCTACAGCTAAAACTACAGATACAACTACAGTTACAACTACAGCTACAACTACAACCACAGCTACAGCTACAACTACAGCTACAGCTACAATTACAACTACAACTACAACTAAAGCTACAACTACAACCACAATTAAAGCAACAGCTACAACTACAGCTACAACTACAGCTACAACTACAGCTACAAC